CCTGGCTTTCTGTGGTTGTGATTTAGACAAAGGCGCCTCTGTTTTCTTCCATTGCCTTTGAGTCGACACTGCCCTATTATTTGCCCATGTGCTGAGGTCATAGAATTCGTTTTGACTTCAGTAATATTAACATTCAGTATTGGATTAGCAAATGGGCAATGGTTCATTGATGTAGCTCGCAGCCTGGTCTCCAATTTGAGCGAGCGCGAGGATCGATAATTTAGCCTACTCTGTTGTTGAATTTCGAATTTTGACGTTACTTTAAAACCATGCAGGATGGTTGGGCTTTTTGCCTTAACTATGTCTGGCTGACACTCCCACTGTCTCTGCCGCCTGCACGGGTGACATGTGCCCGTTCATCAGGCCTTATCTTTCCTTGAAGCAAGGTTGCAAATTCTGCCATCCTAGCCCTCCTCCAGTTCATTACTTAACAACACCTGGTGTTTTGCAGTTTGCTGCGCTTTTGGTGTGTTTCATTCATTAAAAAAAACAAGTAAAAAGATAATATATAAAAATATCATCAAATATTATTAATCTCAATTTTGGAAGAAGGGTTAGTATACAACAAGGGTTAGATCGCGTAAATATAAATGCGTCGTTAATCCGCCAAAACCTGACGCAGCCAATTCGCAAGGTATGCCACGTCAACAAAACGTGCCAATTAGTTACGACTTCGGCGCACCAGACGTGTGTTGGAGAGCAAACCCACAACGTTTACAATTCGAGTGCGACGTTTTCGCTGGTGATTGCAACCAGCTTCATCAGGCGAGTTACCAGATATTTTGAATGAAGTCATCCTGTCTCGGTCTTAAATAGAGGAGCAAAGGTGACGTCGTCATCACTGTGAGCCTATCAGGTGCGACGACCAGAGTATAGGTGTTCACCTAGCAATATACATGACAATGAACCATTCGTCCTCCAGTTGTTTTATCTTGTTTTCTCAGCATTTCTACCCCCCACTCACCCACAGCCCTGCCCGCTCACCCTGCCCCCCCCCTCCCCACCCACCCCCTCCCCAGCATTAGAATGCCCTGCCAGCGTGTGTCCCGTAATTCTGATGGAGAGCGATGGAGTTTTGGAGACAGCTGCCTGGGATTGAGACTTATAGCAGAACCCGGGCAAATATCCCTTCAGCTAAATCCCTGTTTATCAGCCTCACTGTATGGGATTGAGAGCTGCTCTTCATGCACACACACACACACGGGGACATTAAACATTCAGCTGTTAGATATACATACACTGAATAATACATATATGTGTGCGTGTGTGCGGGTGGGGAGCGGTGGTGGAGGGATTAGCGCGCTGTGCTTCGAATCCGGCCACCCGAGTTCGATTCCTGCTCACGGCCAACGCCAGTGGTGAATATCTGAACCGGTCCAGCACCCTCCCCTAGGTCGACTCAGCCTCAAATGAGCACCTGGTGCTGTGTTTTAAAACATCGCCATTGGGGAGACAAAGGCGGTCGGGCGTGGTGTTGGCCACCCACCCCCTCGTGTATCGTGCCGGCCTTCGTAGGTGCTCGCTAACTGCACTTGCCCCAACGGTTTGTTAAGGCTATACGGGGGATCTTTGTACCGTATATACACGGGGCTTAATTTATCATGGAATATTTTCTGCACAGCCCCCCCCTCCCCGCCACAAACCTCTCATCCCCGTCCCCCGATGGCAGGGGCAGAGTGGCTGGAAAATATTTTCTGAAGCTCAGCCCCGGACAGCTCCAGCTGAAATGAATGGCTGGGACGTGCAATGTCAACATCAAAGTGTGCCACGTTGTGTTCGATGTCACCATTCCCGCGGCTGTCTTGGGAGACACCTCGTGCCGCAGAGCTGCACCTCCGATGTGGCACGGTTGTCTAGGTGCGGTGCGAAAGAAATTCAAGCATACATACAAGAGGCAAGAGCGCAGCCCCGCAAGTGCTGGCGACAAAGGCCTCCACATCTGCAAGGCCTCCTCTTCGACGCTTGCCCAGACGTCTCGGAAGTGATGGGGATACCCAAACTTTACCCCACCAGCACACGCGAGATGCCGATCAACTGACCGCACTTGTACACGTCTTACACTGCTCGTTGCACGATGGTGGATTTAATTAACTTTTTCCGATCGTTTAAAACTGCCGCACCGGGACATGACATAGGATAGCTAGCTACACGTGTATAAATGCTGTGAACAAAAAAAATAAACCATGCTCTTCTCTTACAGATCTAAATCCAAACATGCCAATCAATTTGTCAGTCGTTGCAATATATGTTATTATTATTATTTGTTAGAATTGACCACCAAGCCTTTGTCAACGATGAGCTATACAGGATAATATGCGTACATACATGAACACAGGCACGTGTTATGTCTCACTAAAGTTATTTAATGTATACATATTTGTTGAAATAACATTCATCGAAAAAGAAATATCGGTACATGGGTTACGACAACAAAGCAAAATACAGGCGCGAGACATGCCAAATAAGAATGCGGAAATGCTCTACGACTGCATTGGTGTGACATCTTTGCGTCTATATCACAATTGTACAGAAATATTCAATGCAGGTCACTCCACCGCTTAAAATGTATTTCTCTCAAGTTGCTGTAAATTAAAAAAAAAATTAACTCGATTCTCGCTTTGCTTTGTCTTGTTGTTTTGCCGTGGGATGATTCCTGTATACCGATGGCGGTGAATGTGCGATGAAAAAAAAAACGAACGTCCCAAAACGTTACGATCGCTGGGAGCGGCAACGTCACGCCGCGTCGGTACGAGCGCCGTTCCCGCCCAGAGTAGAAAATAAAACAGTGGGAAACCGTTGTTGAGCCGACGTTGGGCCGACGTTGGGCGCGAACGTTTCCAAGCGAACGGCAACGTTGGGTCAACGTTAGGGGGGGAGGGGGGAAACGGTTCCTACCAAACGCTAACGTTGGGTCAACGTTAGGGGGGAAGGGGGGAAACGGTTCCTACCAAACGCTGATGTTGGGTCAACGTTAAGGGGGGAGGGCGGAAACGGTTCCAACCGAACACCAACGTTGGGTCAACGTTAGGGGTGGAGGGCGGAAACGGTTCCAACCAAACGCCAACGTTGGGTCAACGTTAGGGGGGGAGAGCGGAAACGGTTCCAACCGAACGCTAACATTGGGTCAACATTAGGGGTGGAGGGGGTAACGGTTCCAACCAAACGCTAACGTTGGGTCAACGGTAGGGGGGGATGGGGGAAATGGTCCCAACTAAATCCCAACGTTGGGTCAACGTTAGGGGGGGATGGGGGAAACGATCCCAACCAAACGCCAACGTTGGGTCAACGTTAGGGAGGGATGGGGGAAACGGTTCCAACCAAACGCTAACGTTGGGTCAACGTTAGGGGGGAGGGCGGAAACGGTTCCAACCAAACGCTAACGTTGGGTCAACGTTAGGGGGGGATGGGGGAAACGGTTCCTACCAAACGCCAACGTTGGGTCAACGTTAGGGGGGAGGGCGGAAACGGTTCCTACCAAACGCCAACGTTGGGTCAACGTTAGGGGGGGAGGGCGGAAACGGTTCCAACCGAACGCTAACGTTGGGTCAACGTTAGGGGGGGAGGGCGGAATCGGTTCCAACCGAACGCCAACGTTGGGTCAATGTTAGGGGGGAGGGCGGAAACGGTTCCTACCAAACACTAATGTTGGGTCAACGTTAGGGGGGGATGGGGGAAACGGTTCCAACCAAACGCTAACGTTGGGTCAACGTTAGGGGGGAGGGCGGAAACGGTTCCAACCAAACGCTAACGTTGGGTCAACGTTAGGGGGGGATGGGGGAAACGGTTCCTACCAAACGCCAACGTTGGGTCAACGTTAGGGGGGAGGGCGGAAACGGTTCCTACCAAACGCCAACGTTGGGTCAACGTTAGGGGGGGAGGGCGGAAACGGTTCCAACCGAACGCTAACGTTGGGTCAACGTTAGGGGGGAGGGCGGAATCGGTTCCAACCGAACGCCAAAGTTGGGTCAACGTTAGGGGGGGAAGGCGGAAACGGTTCCAACCAAACGCCAACGTTGGGTCAACGTTAGGGGGGGAGGGCGCAAACGGTTCCAACCGAACGCCAACGTTGGGTCAATGTTAGGGGGGAGGGCGGAAACGGTTCCTACCAAACACTAATGTTGGGTCAACGTTAGGGGGGGATGGGGGAAACGGTTCCTACCAAACGCCAACGTTGGGTCAACGTTAGGGGGGGATTGGGGAAACAGTTCCAACCAAACGCCAACGTTGGGTTAACGTTAGGGGGGGATGGGGAAAACGGTTCCAACCAAACGCCAACGTTGGGTCAACGTTAGGGGGGGAGGGCGGAAACGGTCCCAACCAAACGCCAACGTTGGGTTAACGTTAGGGGGGGATTGGGGAAACAGTTCCAACCAAACGCAAATGTTGGGTCAACGTTAGGTGGGGATGGGGGAAACGTTTCCAACCCAACGCAACGTTCGGTCAACGTCAGGGGAAAGAGCAGAAACGGTTCCAATTAAATGGCAACGTTCGGAAAAAATGGTTCCAAATCGATATGCCAAAGTTGGGGGCCCAACGGCAGGCCAAACGGTTCCAACCGAACTCCAACGTTGGATCAACGTTGCGCGTTTACCGGAACTGCGATGGCCCCTACCCGAGAGAAAAATTAGCGGCTGCAAAATATAACGATTTAATTTTATAGCATCATTATTATTCTTGTTTTGGTGACCAGACACTGCATGGTTTGTTGGTTCGCATTGCCCTCGCCGCTCAAATCCAACGCTTTCGGCCGTAACGCGCCGGTTTTTAATGAAAGAAAGGAATCAAGAAAAAACAGAAACACCCCAATCGCGACGAAGAGATGGGGGAACAACCACGCGCGTGCAGGCTGGGAGACGAGTGGAGGGGAGGGAGCGCACGCTACGAATGCCGTCGCTTGTGCGCTCTTTAACGTCACCCCCCGTCTATTTTACGCCCTTGATGTCCCGAGCCGGGAGATTTCCAGTCGGGGAATAAGAAGAGTGAGCGAGCGAGCGAGCGAGTTAGCGACTGGCCTCTTCGTTTTGTTTGTTAAACTGCAAAAAAAGAGGTTTCGCAAATGGAAAATCAATTCACAATTATTTGACCTTATTCGAGCGCTACGAGTAAGTAGTAGTGATTTAAAAAAAAATCAAAATAACGATGATGATGATGATAGGGGTTAAAGCAGGCTTCAAGAAACTCGCGTCGATTGTTTTGGTGCTGTCCGTTCGTGCTGTTTTGGTTTTTTTGCCGCCCCGTCCGTTTTCGTTTCGTTTCGGCAACGCGACCCCTTCAGTCGGCCACAATTCTCTTTGTCCGACGTCGAAGTTGATTTTGTTTTGTTTGTTGTTTGTTTGTTGCTGTGGGTTTATTTTGTTTCGCCGACTGATCAGCACGGCCACCACCGTCCGAACCGCTTCCTCGCGGCGGATTGACCGAACACGTGACGCGACCACCTCCACGTGCACCCAGGGGTAGAAGATTATTTATAATATTATTGTTATTATTCCGCTTCGATGGGGGAACGGCAGATGTCACGAACCAAGTCTTTGTTGTTGTTGTTGCGTGGCAGCAGCAGCAGCAGTAGTAACAGTAATGACGCTGTAAAACTTTTTTTTTTTCCCAAAGTGTGAAAGTCTTTACGAAACTCCGCGGGCGCGAATTCTCGCGTCCGCCCGCGTTCGTAGTCGTAAACTTTGAGCGGAGAGGGCCACCCTGCCCCACGTGCGCGCGAGACGCGTCCAGCAGGCGACAGCCGGCAGGCCGGGGAGGTCTTGCGGGCGACGTCGTTGACATTTTATTTGATTTCACAGACGTGGCCAAGTTAAAGCTTGTCCCTCCCACCCCCCATTGCACAAACTCATCCCCCACCCCACACACCCTCCCCACCTCCCCTCTCTGCCCTCCCCCCCGCCGGCTTGGGGAGGGGAGGATAAGAAGCGGAGGTCCAATTACCCAACGGAGAATCTGGCAATTTCAAGACGGCCCTGAATTATCAAGCTGTGGTACGCCCCCGCCCCCCATATCTCCTCCGTCTCCCTCTCCTCCACTGTTCTCTCATCTCCTCCACCTCCCTCTCCTGTCCCTCCCTCCTCCCCTCCCCTCTCCTCCACCTCCATCTCCCCTCTTCTCTGCCTCCCTCTCCTCTTCCCCCACTCTCCCACACACACACACACACACCCCAGCACCCTCCGCCCCTCCGGCAAATCTGTTGCCAATTCACACCCTTCCCCGAGCCGACTATTCTTGGATGGATGTGATACGTCTGTAAACGTGTTGCATTATCGCCGCAGCCTGAACACATATGTCTCGTATTGTTTACACTGTTATAGCCAAAACACCAACACAATCACTTTTGTATCGGTAAAAACTGCACTCACGAAAGCATTCCCACCCCGTTGTAAATTATGGACACGACATCTCACCAGTGCAAGGATCCTTAATGTAGATCTCCGATAGACTTCGTTTTTTTCCCCGTTAATCCTTATATATTATTTATATATATATACTGCAACTTCAAGCAATACATCTGAATCGATACTAGATATCAAAGCTTATCTTCACGCACCCACCCACCCCCACCCCTCCCCACCAACGAATCCATTCATTCATTCGCCCCGCGTAACAAGTGTTTGTCATTCCCCCCTCCCCCACCACAGCCACCCACCCTCCCATCAAACTCTTCCGCCGCTTGTCACTTCAGTTCGCCCCCCCCCCCCCCCCCCACGTCTAGACGAGGGGCCCGCGCGCCAGGCGGACGAACGCGACCGCCGCCACGGGGCCCAGCGCGCACCTCGCCACGGCGTCGAACCCCGCTCCGCTCCGCCCGTGGACGTGCCCGGCTGCCCCTCCTCCCGCCGCCTGCCCTCCGTGCTGAAGGTCGGCCCCCTCCATCTTCTTGCTCCGGCTGCACTTGGGGCTGGCGGGCTGCGTGCCGCCCGCGTGGCCACCCACGTCGTCGTCCAGCTCCTTGAAGTACGTGTCGAGGTGCGGCAGGTCCCCGGCGGCGCCGTCGCGCTCCTGCTTGCCGTCGAGGTAGCCCTGCCCGGCTGCGTTGGCGCGGGCTGCGCGCCGCCGTGTGCTTGCGGCACTTTCGTCTCGTCGGCACCTTGATGATCGGCGAGATGGCCACGGCCGACGTCTTGGCATCGCCACCTCCTCCTCCTATTCCGGGCGCCGCCGGAGTCTTCGGTGCGTGGGTTCCCGACGCCTTGTCTGGTCGGAACGGGTGAGTGGCGACGGCGTAGTAGGTGGACGAGGTGGGGCCCAGGTTGCACGACATGAACGTGTTCTCCGCCAGCGACCTGAGGTTGCGGTTGACGAGGTTCGAGGGCGAGTGACAGACGACCTCGGTGCTCGAGCCGCGAAAGCGCTTGAACCACTCCCAGAGCGAGAAGAGGCGGCAGTCGCAGGCCCACGTGTTGTTGTTGAGCCGCAGGTACTGGAGGCCCGACAGGTCGCCCATGGCGTGGCCCGAGAGCTCGGTGAGCTCGTTGTTGAACAGGTAGAGGGTGGAGAGGGCCGAGAGGCCGCGGAAGATGCGGCGGCGGATTGCCCGCAGCCTGTTGTGGTGCAGCAGCAGCTTGTCGAGGCTGTGCAAGCCCCGGAAAACGTTGTCGGAAAGACTCAGCAGCTTGTTGCCGTGCAGGAAGAGGTGGGTGAGGTTCGACAGCTCCCCGAACAGGTCATCCTGGGCAGAGCGCACGCGGTGCGGGCAGAGCGCAGGGGGGGGGGATTACAATCGTGGGTTGGACCTCGGTTTTTTTACTTTTTGTTTGAGACCCAAGGTCACAAAGGGGCAAATGCCAGCTAACAGATGCCGAGCAGGCAGCAACAAACAGCACGAGGAAAGTTGGGTTCGAAGTCAAGAGTGGTAGATTTTGTTTTTGTTTTTGGCTCAAATGAGTGTTGCGTGCAGCGGTGCATATTTCTCGTTTGCAGTGCTGGAGATTCCACATTCACATGGCAGGGGTGAGTCTATCCATAGGGCAAACCCACTGTAAATTCCCCACAAAATTGGTACCGTATTGTATCGACCCACCCCCTCCTTTCCCCCGAGGGATCCTTCCGATTGTGAGCCACTCGCTCTACCATTGAGCCACCAGGCCGGATTATTGAACGTTGGGTTGCGCAAGAGTTGACACGTTCTGTGTTAAACTGGGCAAGGTTATACGATTTTGGGGGGGGGGGGGAGAGGCGATGGGGTGGAATTCCGCAGTGGAGCAGTGCGAGCTAAAGAAGGAGAAGGGAAATAGTCGTGACCTACAGCGTGGTGAATGAGTGGGTGATTGAGAGTACGGGTGAGTGCATGAGTGGATGAGTGAGTGGGTGAATCGGTGAGTGAGCGAGTGTGATGCTGTGATCTGCTATGTGGTGGTCGTGGTGGTTGAACACAGTGGGGATGAGTGGGTTGGTGGGTGAGAGGGTGGGTGAGTACATGAATGGTTGAGTGAGTGTTATGTTGCTAAAATAAGAATAGGCTTAACCCTTTATGGCAATAAAACAGGTGGTATTAAGATGTTCGATCACCAAATTAATACTTTTTGTAAGGCATCAAGTCTACATTACCCACACGTACCTGTGGCAAAACATGCAAACAAATGTACTATGATAATATTTGCATTGTGGGTGAATGAGTGGTTGAGTGAGTAAGCGAGTAGGCGAGTGGGTGAGTGTGATATTGTGTGGTGGTGGTGGTGGTTGAACACACAGCATGGATGAGTAGGTTGGTGGGTGAGTGGGTGAGAGGGTGAGTGAATGGGTGTGGTGTTGTAAGGTGGTGGTTGGTGGTGGTTGAACGCACAGTGATTATGAGACGACACAGAGCAGACCTTCCATTAGACCAAGTCTTCAACATGGATGGGGTGGAGGGGAATGAATGGATTTGAAACTCATGGGGACGGTACGCATGGTAGTAGCGATGGAAGAGCGATCAGGAGGCGAGTGATCGCTGGACCATCAATGAACATCACCAACCAACACGGACAAGCGTGGTGAAGTACGGTCGAACACCTCCCGTGACCGACACAGCATGGGGAAGCCACGATTCGGTGGTAAATAAATCAAATTGTAAACATTTCGATTTAAAGCTTTTGTGACTGCAGGGATTCATCTTCTTGGTTCTTTCGGTAAAGTCACTTAGAAGAAAGTCACTTAGAAGAACAGGTCTGAATGACGCTGTCTTTCCGACAGACCTGTCCTTCACCTGAAGATGGCTGCTTGCGTTGTTTATTATTTCCCTTCTACGTGACTTTACCGAAAGAGCCAAGAAGAAAAATTGTAAACACCAATATGCGACCACGCTACATTTTTATCACGAGTGTTGTGGCAAGTGCATTTGGTCCACGCGTTCATATCGACAATTGCCCAGCTCATTCAACTTTTCTGGTATATATCTAAATACATTTCCATTCAGACCAAAACAATTCTTCATTGGTACATTGGCAAATTCCCGTTACTCTCTATTGGTGGTTATGCATGTGCCGTGGACGGCAAATAACACCGTGAGATAGAGTGTCTTTCATTATAAAATCAATGTATGCTCTTACACGTATAATTGGAGGCAGGGCTCCCTGCGTGGTGTGTGTTATTATTTGTGCGTGTAATTATTAGCAATTTTCTCAACGTTGCTCGCAATTATTGTGTTTGTGTGAATATATTTGTTTGCTATTAGATATAATTAGATATCTGGGGTGGACTGGTGGCACAGTGGTTAGCACGCTGCGCTATGAACTCAGCGAGCCGAGTTCGATTTCTGGCCATGGCTAACGCCAGTGGGTAAGTGATATGGGGGGGGGGGGTGTGCTCACCATGGCGAAGTATGGTCAGAAACCCCCACGGTTAATGTGAAGCTTTCACGTGCGATGACTTGAGAATGGCTGGAATATTCGATGTAATGTTTTACTCTCTTACTTTGTCTATTTTTTCCAGTCCATAATTTCTCAAAAGAACGGCTTGACGACGACATAAGAAGAGATTGATGCCGGAAAGATGTGGCACCACTTGATCATACTGGCACGAGACAGATTAAAGTGGAAACAGATGACGAAATGACGGGGCTATCTGCCCATGGATCGTGATGATGATGATGCTGATGATGATACTTAATTGGCACCTCATTTGCCAGTAAAAAATATGATAATTGTTTTTTTTTGTGCGCCTTTTGGCGTCATCTGGTCCAACCCACGTGAGACTAGGCTCTAAGGCAGCGGTCGGGAACCTATGGCTCGCGAGCCATATATGGCTCTTCCGGTGACGGCATATGGCTCCCAGACAATTTTGAGTTGAAAAAATTAAAAAATCAGTTTGGAACTGATTTTCAAATACTTGTGATATTGCTTAATAATACCGTGTCATTTTAAAGTAAACAGAAATTTGTTTTGAAGATAAATTTCACGGGTCACGCCTGCATGAAGCTCAACCTCACCACGTACGAACCAGACTACAAGGCCATCAGCAAAACCACGCAGCACCAGAAGTCGCATTAAAAGTAAGACATATTTAATTTATTATACGTTAAAAATACTATATGGCTCTCAATGAAATATATTTAGAAATATTTGGCTTTTATGGCTCTCCCAGTCAAAAAGGTTCCCGACTCCTGCTCTAAGGAAAGCTGTCTCGGGTGTGGACCAATCAACTTCAAGGACAGTGCATAAATTATCAGAGTTATGTTCTTTATTTGCATTATGACTGCAGGTATTGTGGTCTATGCAAACATGACTCCTCGTAAAAAAGGTGTCAGTTTTGTTGCCAGATAGAAGGGTAAAAAAAAATAATTACGATGATAATACTTCTCAAAAAAGGAACTGATGAAAATACAACAAATATTTTTTAATGAATTGGCCACTCGCAAGAGGAACGTCGTGATTCATGCGTGAGTTTGGGGTCAGATCGCTGTGTGAGTACAACGCTAACGTTGGTGCGGTACACCCTACGCTACCTGACACAGCCATATACGTACATTTGTCACGTGCACAAACTGCCGATTTATTGCTGCTTCCGCACGTAATACTTACACACAGAGACACACTCACACCCACATACTAACAATAACATCAACCGCCGTTCACCACTAAAAGTGGCGGTGGCGTCACCACAGTACTTGTGCCAGGCTAGGTGCACGCACAACACACAACACAACAACCGCCATTCGCCACTAAGTGGCGGTGACGCCACCACGACGCTTGTGCCAGGCTATGTGCACCTTGAGGCCACGTGAAGTGTCGAACGCCCGCTGGCAGGAGGTCACGGGGCAGACCCAGGTGCCACGGCTCGACTGACTGATATTACCGAGATGACTGGCTGATGCACCACCTGTGCCCCCTACTGTGCCAACTTGCTGTGCTTTAGCCACCCGGCGCTCCGCTCGTTGTTGTGCACGCACACACACAGTCACAGACACACACCTACAGACAAAGAACCCCACATACGGTTGTGCGATTCAACTCACACCACGGTTATACCCCAGATATCATGCGGTTAGTTGCTTGACTATAGCCGGGCAGTGGTGGCTATGCACGTGGCCTGTAGTAGTACATGTTGTTTATGCCATTTATTGTGAAAATTCCGTCACAGTTCCTATGATCACTGTTTCATTGCTTTCATGGCTTTATTTTGGTGATTTCGAAAAGTGTATTGGTTTAGCCATGTTTGTTTGTTGTAGTACAGAGTTAGACTGATGGCCTTAATCTAAGTTGTCTTGTGGTTGATGTTGGTTGTTTGACTTGCATCCCACTGGGATTTTGCTGTCTTTTCTTGGATTTTCTGTTTGCACTCAGTCACATATTCACTTTAAGATGTTTTTTGTTCATGTTTTTGTTTGTTGCGGTTGCACCCGATCCAAGAGCCGAATGGCTCACAGGGCTATACCCAATAAATGAACTTGAACCCAGCATTGTGGAGGCAGCGAAGGTTGGCGGATCACACAGGCGTTCTTAAATTGCCCTCGGGCGTCGATGAGGTGCCATAGCCTCGCTCACCAGGAGCAGGCAGTACAGCAAGTGTGTTTAACTCCAATCTGTATCCATCGGTACGAGGATTAAGCGTAAGCCTTACGCTGGCGCAAGTGAGTCTTCTCCGGGTGCTCCGGTCTGCTGCCGCACGTATAAACACCCATTAACCCCATTGGCTAAACATACAAATATAGGGTCACAGACCTTGGGCAATTGTTGGCAATGCTGGTTCTGGCTGCCCTCCCAGACCTAATAATCTCATGTCAAACTCTGCAACGAGTTACATAATCGTAATCTTGTAATGTTTTAACTTTTGAGTCTCTGCATCGTCTGTCTCAGGAATGATGTAGATTCCCATTGTAAGCCATCCATCAGTACTTTTTTAATCATTGATGTTCTGGGGCACTAAGTGAGAACAAGACGATGCCACTGGTGTATTTCATATTTGTCTGCATAAGTCATGGGCGTACTTAGAAGCGGCTGCGATCATTGCAGCTATAAATGGCACAAATGGAATCTGTTTTTTTTTAAAACAAGTTTCTGCATCTCCCCATTGTGACTCGCTAGATGTATTTTTTTTATTTTATCGCTTTCAAAACACCTCCACGTAATGGCCAAATAAATAACAAGTACCCTCCCCCTAGTAGATGCGTTCCAAAAAAAAATCAAGGGCGCACAAAGCGAAATCGCCTCGCACGGACCGCACGGTCACCCAACCACCCACAATGCACCGCGT